CTGGAGAGGGACTCTTCATTAGAGACTGTAGTGACAGGACAAGGGGTAACGGGTTAAAACTTAAACAGGGGAAGTTTAGGTTGGATATAAGAAGGAAATTCTTTCCTGTTAGAGTGGTGAGGCACTGGAATGGGTTGCCCAGGGAGGTTGTGAATGCTCCATCCCTGGCAGTGTTCAAGACCAGGTTGGACGAGGCCTTGGGTGATATGATTTAGCGTAAGGTGTCCCTGCCCACGGCAGGCGGTTGGAACTAGATGATCTTAAGGTCCTTTCCAACCCTAACGATTCTATGATTCTATGATTGTTCTTTTATCAAGCAAGTTACTCAGAGACTATGTTTATCTTAAACCCACAAACTCCCACTTAATAAAGTGAATAAATTGATATTTGAAGCCTCTTGCCAAGAAGCATTTTTCCAAACCTTTAGCAATTCCCCCAACAGTTTCTTGAGCTATGTGCAATTTATCTTGGACTGAGGACAGTGTATCCTAAGGACACTGTAGCTGAATTACACTATTCTAAAAGCGTTTACCCTGAAAGACAGAAAAAGTGTTAACTTCTCTTGTATTTGATAACCCCATGTTTATATATTCAAACCCATACTATCCCTTTCAGGTATACAGTTCCAGAAGGAGTTTACTTCAGTCATTGTCTCCCATGATTCTCAGCTTTGTTTAAACCACACAGTGGGCCTGACTGCTCCCTGAATGTTAAAACCAGGGAATAATTTACATGAACAAGATGAAGACCAGAAAAGGCCTTGACTCTGTGTAAGCTCACAATAACTAAAACATCCCTGTGTCATCAACAGTTTCCAGCACAAATCCAAAACACAGTCCCTTTCCAGCTACTATAAAAAAATTAACTCTATCCCAGCCAAAACCAGCACAGTCCTAACCCCCAAATGATCTTCAGTCATTTCTAAATGCTTATTAGTACAATAATGCATATGATTGTATAAAGCTGTGTATGGAGGGAAACAGTGAGGATCAGGAAGATCCTATGCTTGCGCTTGATCATCTACAACTTCCCAAGATTATTTTAACTCCTTTTCTTGCTAAATGACAAGATCTTACTCATTTTTGCACTATTATTTCAATAGCTAATGATACATTAAGCTCCCAATCTTTTCACACATTCCTATTTCAGACTGTAGATAGGATTTCAAATTTTAGCAAGCAGTCAATGTATTTCAAAGCTCCTTTTTTTAAGTAAGCATCATGTTGTGTTCTCTTATCTTCCTCTATCTGCCAGCACACAAACATGTGCAGGATCAGAGCCTCGCTGGGCCAGCAAGACCAGAACAGCCATGTCTTCTTTTGAAATGTGAGGCAGCACAAACATATCTTGTCCATGCCTCTCTGGAGCTACTTATCTGCAAGCTTCCTAGAAACTTTGACCTGCCTTAATACAGTACTTAACTGGAAAACCACAAACAATGCATAGTTATAATTTATGGTATCAAATATTTACCAACCTTTAAATCTTTGTCTCACCTTAACTAACAATACTTACCTTTACACTGGGTGGAGAAACCATGTTACTCCCTCCATAAAAAACTCCTTCATAACTAATGTGCTCTTACTTCACCACATCAAAATGAAATTACTAAATGTGCACTCATTATTTAAATAGGAAGAGGGGTGCCTTCTATTTCCTGCCAATCTCCACAGAGACTTGTCTCTCAGCTTTGCAGTCCTTAGAAGGCCTTCCAGCAATTCTGTTAAGGATGGCTGCTAATTTCTGCATAAGCGTTTCTTTAGCTTTTAGGGCTGAACACCACCATTTTTTTCCATGTAGTATTTTAAATTATTTCCTCCTACTTCTGGTGTATATAAACCAGCTTTATTAGTTTGGTTGCTTTTAAAATAAAGCATGTTAGGAGAAAATTAATCTATTAGCAAGAAAAAACCAAGAAAATATAGGGAAACTTCAGCCTCCAGAATGCTGTGAGAAATACGCATTGCAGCAGGTTCACAAGCTCTGCTGGAGTAAGTCAGGGACTAATGGAAGTTCCTCTACACCACCTGCTGAACAGAGTTAAATAGTCTGATCAATTGAAGTGTCAGTGTAACCAATGGCTTCAATGCCACTTTTTCACAAAATTAAAGTTCCAGGAAGGAATTATGGAAAAAGAACTATTAGATTATCCTGTTCATTCCCTGTCGTCATAGGATAGTCCCTCTGAAGACATTTTTATTCCAATTTGTCCAATGCAGTTTTAAAGGCTCGGAAAGGCATAAGCCACAGCTGCTGCCTGTAGTCTGCTAAACCCTGATTTCTACCTTGCCGTATTGAAATGACTTTATCTTTGCAATAGTATTGGATCATGTCTACTTAAATAATGACTTTGAACATCTCTATGTGGTTGATATATCTATATAGCAAATTCCTGAAGGCTAGGTTACAAACTCCATACTTATCATTGATTTCATCTTTATTTCATCAGGGATCCACATGGGACAGTGTCCCATATATAAGGAAATCCTTTAGAGACTGGCACAGTGGACTGCCAGCATCACCAGCCAAAGGAACCCTTCCCTTCAACCTCTGAAAACACCTGAAACCTTGTGAGTACCGTCAGAACACCCCAAGAATAACTCAAATCCAATCACCATTTGCAACAGAGGTACCATGTGGCTGGCATGGGCTGCACTGGTGGCACCTTTCTTGCCAGGTTCTAGTGTCCCTTCTTTGCTCCTTCATTGTAGTCTGGTGCAATCAAGCTGTGTGAATATAAAATCAAATACTATATGTAGCAAGATATAAACAATCAGACACATGTAGAATCAAAGTATTAAAGGTTTGGCATCTGGAAAGCTTGTTTTTTCCTTATTTTTTGGATGCCAGTTTTCCAGGTGTTTGGCAATCCCATTGCATGTCCTGTGTTTACACATGGAAGCATCCATTTTTATTGAAAAAGCTATCTGATTAAGAAAATTTTAAGGGCATCTTTGAACACTTTTATGAACTCTCTTGCTACAGTCCTCTGGAATGGAAAATGATTACTGACTGCCACATTGCACCTGAAGAGTAGCAGAAGATACCTTTTTTTAATAAATGCCTGCAAAAATAAGGACTGTTCTCAGCATCATCAATGGCAAAGAGGCTCTGGATCAGGAGTAAGCATTAAAAGAAAGAGTTACAGAGCTGTAAAAATCTTTCTCAGAGGCTGCTCTATTTGCTGTATGGCAAAAAGTCATTTAACTGGAAATAGCAGCTGAACCCATCTATCTCCACTATTCCTCTAACAGGATAGAAATTACAACATCATATATTCAAGCATTTATGACTATTTTCTGTATCTTCATGCTTTCTGCTCCCTCTCTACAATACACATACCACATAGAAACAAATAATATATAGGGCTGGAAAGGACCTTAAGATCATCCAGTTCCAACCCCCTGCCATGGGCAGGGACATCTCACACTAAACCATGTCACCCAAGTCTCTGTCCAGCCTGGCCTTGAACACTGCCAGGGATGGAGCATTTACCACTTCTTTGGGCAACCTGTTCCAGTGCCTCAGCACCCTTACAGTAAACAACATAATATTGATGCATACTCGAGGTAAGACACCTCTGTTTATCATGAGATCTAGGTCTTTATACCACGCATGAAATCTGCAGCAGTGGAACTGGAGAGAAGATGCTGCTTTTTCATGTAACATTTTAACTTCTTGTTGCAGAGAATCCAGCAGGGAGAACTTAAAACTCTCTGTCTGCCTCCCCCCAGGAAGGCAGCAGACCTGAAACCACCTGGATGGACATCCCCACTCCAAAAGTGTGCTGCCTTTGGTATTAAAAGAGCTGAACACACAGCAATAAATTTTGAGCGCGCCCTTAAGTCACTTACCTTAGTGTTAAATGAGTTAGGCATATGAGTGAGTCCCCGTGGTCCTTTAGGTCCTTTGCAGTCTAATTACAAAACCTAATACTTTTGGCATACAGTGTTTTGAAAATACAGAACCCGGATTAATCCCTAGCATGGCATAAATACCTGGGAAACATCCAGACCGAGCAGCAGAACACTTCAAATCTGTTTCTACAACGTCCTCTGTTCATTCAAGACATAAACTGTCTCTTAAAAGTTTGTTTTCTTTTTAATAACCATTCAGCGTGGATCAAACTCGGTATCTGCCAATTAATTTAAAAGAACACAGATGCTGTATAGAATCACAGAATGGTTTGGGTTGGAAAGGACCTTTAGATCACCTAGTACAACATTCCTGCGAAGTGTTGGACCTTTCACTAGACCAGGTTTCTTCAAACCCCATCCAGCCTGGCCTTCAACACCGCCTGGGATGGGGCAGCCACAGCTTCTCTGGGCAACCTGTGCCAGCGCCTCACCACCCTCACAGGGAAGAACTTCTGCCTCTTATCTTTAAGCTGAATCTCTCCCATTTAAGTTTCAACCCATTTCCCCTTGTCCTATCGCTACAGTCCCTGATGAAGAGCTGCTAAATAAGCACCTAAACTACACTAAACCAAAACCTGGAGGTTGCAATGCTGCAATACTCTAATGCAAAGACCTGGAAAATAGGACAGAAAAGCAAAACCTTGTTTCCATCGCTCTGGGACAATTAACACGAGCCGGTGACACCTTTTGCTGCTGCGAGTAAGTCCTGTGATCTTACAGGCACCTTAATAATAGATACAATGGAAAGAGCCTGGAGGGAGCCTTGCCAAGCACCAGGGTCCGGAGAACAGCAGGCGTTTAACCCCACCTGCCGCCCTCGCTACGCCCCTCACACCGGCCGGGCCCTTCCCACCCGCAGCCTCCCCTCAGCGGCGACGAACGGACCCCGCTGCCGCGCCCCGTCAGGACGCCCTGAGGGGGCGACGGAGGCCGCGCCACCGCCCGCCACCGCTCCGCGCCTGCGCGGAACCGCCTCCGCCGGCCGCCCTCCGCCCCGCCCTGCCGCCGGCGCGGGGCCATGGGTGGCGGCGGCTGAGCTGGCCCGGGCGGCGCGGAGCGGAGCAGAGCGGGGCGGGGCGCGGTGGCGCCGCCGCTGGCGGGAGCGGCTGCGGGGCGGTGCCTGGGCTCGGACTGCCCGGCCCGGGGAAGCAGCCGCGGCAGCGCGGCCCAGGGACTCCGCGGCGGGCGTTTCTGGCGGCCCGAGCGCCGCGCCCTTCCCTGCCCCATGTCGGCGTGGCTCGGCCGGGCGGCGCTGCTGCTGGGGCGGCCGGGGGGCCCCGCCGCTGCCGCTCCCTCCTGCCTGGGCTCGCTGCGGGGCCCGCCGCGCTGCTGCTGCCGCCGCCGCCTGAGCAGCCTGCGGGGCGGCGCCGAGGGGCTGCTCCTCCCGCGGGGGTCGTCGCCGCCGCCGGGGCGGGCGCTGGGCACCCACCCCAGGAAGGAACCGATGGAGGCTTTGAACACGGTGCAGGGGGCCCGTGACTTCATCTACAGCCTGCACTCCACCGAGCGGAGCTGCCTGCTGCGGGAGCTGCACCGCTTCGAGTCCATCGCCATCGCGCAAGGTGAGCGGCAGCTCCCGCAACCCCGGCCGGCGGCCTGAGGCCGGCACCGCCGCCTCGCCCGGGGCCACGCTGAGGTTTTGGGGTGCCGGGGCTGGGCCAGTGCGGGACTGAGCCCCCGAAGTTTGGCTGTGGCCAGTCCGCCCGTCGCCCAAGCGAGTCTTCGGGCGGCGCGGTGAGCGGGGCACTCCAGCGGGGCAGGGCAGCGAGCGGCGCACGCCGGTGTGTGTGTGAGCGCCGTGCTGGGTGTAAATGAGGCGCAAGACCTGAAACTTACTTTCCAGAAGCATCTGCAGCTCCTTCTGAACTTAAACGGAGCTGCCGTGCCGAGTGCTGGGGGTGTTTCTCATCTCCCGAGGAGTTTATAGAGGTGCGGGTGGCCATTTTTGGGGAAGGGTGTGGGAAAGTGTGTGTCTCATGAGCCACTCTCCACACTAGTGCAGCAGTGATTTCAGACCTCTTAAGAGGCGCTGGGCTGCTGGTGCTCCGCGAGCTCATTCATGAGTTACCGAGAGCTGCCTGCTTGCTGGCTTTGCTTCTTGGAAGTGCTGGGTGTTACGCGGGAAGGTGTGTGAGTGCTGGGGAGGGTTAGCGATGTGTCTCAATACAGCGCTATGCAGCGCCGATTACAGTAATTCATAGTGATTGTTTCCATCTGATCCAACCGTTCTTGCCAACTCGACACTTTTCCTACAATCAAAACCTGACAAAACCAAATCCTCTTATAATTACAGCCTCGGTACATCTGGTTTTGATGCTTAACTGTAATTTATGGCCCCTATTGCAACAAAGATGATAGCGGGTACTTAAGAGATCAGGGTGCATTTGATCTAGGCCTCCTTGTGACTTTGATAGTAGCGTGCCCTTGGAAAGGGCATTTCTCTGCCTTGTGGCTCTTCTCTACATGTCTGGATGAAATCTTGTGGTGGGCAGAGATCAGGACCAGGGGTCAGCCATAGGAATGCTGCTTTTGCTAAGGGAAAGAACCTTTTCCAGGTGCCTGTTTGGTTTCATTTATAGCACACTTGCATATAAACACTAGTGTTTGTAGACAGAGTGCCAGTAACTCACTTAAGTGGTTCATTTTTGGAGCAGTGCTTCTGTTTTGCAGAGCGTGAATCCTCTTGTGTTTGTTTTCCAACATAGTGGGAAGTATGCTTTGAGCTGTATGTTGACACTAACTTTTGAGTACTAACAACTAATACTCTTCCTAAATAAATCCTCCTCAGCTTCTGAGGGATTCTTGCCATGAGGTTTTTGAGAGAGTTTCAGTCTTGGCAGTTGCTGTTTGGGTGAACCCGGGCTGCTTGCAATGCTTCTGTGTATCTGGAGGATCGTGGTGGAGATCAAAATGAGACTTTAAAATGCATTTAGTGTAATGTCTCAATGTTGATACAGAGATAATTCAGCAGATGGTCCTATTTAATATCTTGTTGCTCAGTTGCTGTCAGCTATAATATGAAAGTCTATGTAATACGGTGACTTTCTGAGGAGTGAGGATTTAGAAGACAGAGTAATAAAAGCATTAGAGTTTAGAGACCTTACTGCATGAGATCTTAGTAAAGATGTAGTAAAGGGCAAAATTATTCAACTAGTGGAAATTATAATTCACTTATGCCTGAAATGGTGGGCATTAATCTCACTGGAGAGATGGTTTCAACAAAGCCTCAGGTGAGGGCTGCACAGTGGTGTAATGCATCAGACTTCAGTCTTTGGAGTGAGAGTCTTCATCTGCCCATGTAGTAGCTTGATAAGATGTTTTGGAAAGAACCTTTTACTTTAGCTAGCCTCTGTTCATGTTGTTTTGTTTTTCCAGACTGCAGCATGGTAACAGCTGTCAGCTTTTAAATCTAAGAAAAGATGTTTCTTCATGTGTTGTGGAGAAAGGAAAATCATAACCAAGAAGGGCTTCTAGTAAGTCTTAATACAAATCAGAGGGGAAAACAGTAATCCTAAAACTATAGCACATACCTTGTGTATGTTCCCTGATACTTTGAAGAACTAAAATCACACGAACAAGAGAGGAAATGTGGCACAGAAATCATTCAGTGCTGGCAAAACAGATGCTCTGCTTTCATTAGATGCGCACACCTTAGCACTGAATCCTCTTTGGTGTGCACATGTGTGAGCTGCTCTGGCCCAGGGGGTAGGGAACGGTAATGCCAGAATTCCCTAGCGGGAATGGATTACCCATAGCTGTTACCTGTAGGAGACTGGTAATGGCAGATCAGATTTTACATGATGAAAGGCAGTGAACATAGCGCCAGGCTCTTGAGGAGTATTGGATATGCGTTGTCCCTCTCAACACCAAGGAGTGCCAGAAGAAGATAAAGGGGAGAGAAGGGCTGCACTTGAAAGAGAATGATATGGTTCCTGGGTTAGATGCTGATGTTATATACTTAACATGCTTTGTTATGGTTAGATAATATTTTATATGTTTGCTTTTTCCTGCTGTTGAAATGGTGACTGTGTAGGAATGATCTGCCTACGTATACAGGTTGTGAGTAGCAGATGGGGTCTGAGAATTATTTGTGCCCTGCTTTCCAAGTACTTTCTGCAATCTACTAGTGTCACTTTTGGTATTTAAACTGATGAGTTCAATCAAGATAAAATGGCTTTAGAGGTGTTTGGTTTCTCTTGATCTTCTCATTCAGTGGCAGTATGCTGTACCTTCCAGTAGCTGACTCTTTAGATAAGGTTGCTAGTTACTTTTATGCTTATTTTCAATGAATGATCCAAATTCAACCTTTTGTCTACCTACTGAGTAAATTCCTATGTCCTGTTTGAGTCTGGAAAATCAGCCTGTCCTCAATCATTAAATACCTATGCAGTTGTGCAACTGTACTTAAGCTTGCTTTGTGCCTGTGATCTTTTCATACTACTTGTATATGGAAAGAGAGGTCTTAGTCCAAACCCTTCTTAACACGGTCCTTATTGGGTTAAGTTTTGACCTTCTTCCTTCACTACCTCTTCTGTGCCCTAACAGACCCCATATCAGCTAGGGGAAGCTGTCAGCAATATGGGGAGACCTGGGCACATCAAGAACCAAATGGGGCCTGTTCCTCAGCCCATTCCCAGGCCTACCACGAGAAGGATGCAGTGCCATCAACTAATTGCCCTAGCGCGAAATATGACAGGACACACTATATGTGGCCTCCGCTAATGGCAGAGGCTACAGGGAAACCCATCCTTTGCTGCGGCTGCTACGCTGAAGGACGGTCCTCAGGTAGGTGAGTCGTAGCTGCTGACCTGTAAGTTAGGTGAGTCTCTGAAGCTGTTTTGAAACTTAACCCATCTGTTTGCGCTGTAGTTGTAGGTGGGGAGAGGTTTATGAATGTCTTCCTGCCATCGCCTTGTCACCTATCTTACCTGGATGTTTATGTCTGGGCTCTTAGACCTTTCCGATGCTGAGCACCAGCAGTCGGTTTCAACAGTTTAGCTTATTAATAAACACTGAGATTCTTCTGTTTGTTTTAGCGCATCAGTCAGAAGACCGAGCCCGATCTGTGAGCTTGTCATAAAAGGATGGCTGTGAAGCTGGGAGCCTGGCTTGTAATTAATAGATGGGCTTTGCTAGAAGCTGGGGGGAGGGCTGTGAAACTGAATCTTGGTGCAGTTGTTCTCAGATGATGCTTTGAGAGCTACACTGGTTAAGGCTGTAAACCGTATCTTGAAATATAGTCAAAACATCACAGACCTCCTCACCTGGATTTCGTTTTCGTCCTTCATTAATGTCTTTTTCTTTATTTTTTACCCCTTTCCAATCTCGGAAAGGTGAATAACATCTCACCTTTTCCCAGGAAGAGGTTTGAAACAAAGTTTTTCAGTTTCAGTGTGTGCTTCTTGTAAGCATGTCAGCCACACAGATGGAGGTGATACATGTGGACTTGAATGCAAATAGTTTGTATGCTTCTTTCTCATAGTTAAGGGATCACTGAAGTAGCAAGTAGGCCAATTTGTTGTAAATGTAATAGTTCTGCTTCCCTGCTTGCGGAAGCCTTAATCAAAGCTTAGTTTTGTTGGCAGCAGGCAGTCAAATCCTCTTTCCTGGTGCTTGTTTCTTGCATTGAGAAAACAAAAGTGTAAAAAAATCTTACTGGCAATGGAGATAATGATTTAATGCCTCTGACCTTCTATAGCAGTTTTCCATTATAAAAGAGTGGTATTAGAAAGAAGATGTAACTCCCTTCTTAAGGGGCTTGTATTCAGGTTTTCTACCTTTAGTTTTCAGTGAATGATATGAAATGATTCATGAAAGCACCTGTAAGCAGTGCAGCAAGCCCAGCAGCAAGGAGGAAAAATACTAAAGGGTTTGACCTTGCTTAGGTAAGAAGTACTACTTAGCGTATCTGCTGCATCTTTATTTCTTCTGAGGGTACTGTTGTTCTTGTCTGTGCTAGGTTAAAATATTCTTGAGCCCAGATGTAACCATTCTCCATTAATAATACTAACACGATGGCTGTCTAGGTTCTCTAAGAAATCTCAGGTCTTGATAGTGAGAGGATCTGTTATTTTCCTGTCTTTGTTGCAAAGGTGGGAAAACAATTCCTATTTCCCTGTGTTTTGTTGTGAAGATGGAAAATGATTCCTGTTTTCTCATCTTTGTGTACATATACATAATGTGTATGTACAATATATAACTTTGTATATATAATATATAAAAATATATTTTAATATATAATGAACATTGAACACAATTTCCTTGGAAAAAAAACAAGTTGCATTTTGTATTTTAAAAGAAGGCTTTCATGATGTGGTCATTAAATAAAAGCCTTTCTGAAGTGTACTTGCTTGTTTCTCTGCCTGTCAAGGTTGTATATTAACCAGCAAACATGCAAAACCCAGTAGCAGTGCAGTCTCAACAGCTAGTTTTGTTGGTTTAATTCACAGGTCTTGGAAAATGCAGTCTCTAGCTAGATTCTTTTGAAGGCACCGGTTTGTCATGGTTTAGGAAATAATCTGACCAAACTGGTGTGTTCTGATAGAAAAATGGTTGTAATTTTAGGTTACTGAATCTTTGTTCTTAAAAAAATAGTATGTGGGTAAAGGGTACCAAAGCAAGTCATTCAGTAGAGTTGGTGGCTGGGGCAAGATTTCTCTGTGGGAATTTGCAAGCTTTTAGCCATTGTTAGGTGAGATCTTACTTTGATGTCTGAAGAAACATCTCTGATGTGTGAACTGGTGCTTAATTTATGAACTCACTGGTTTACTGGAATAGTTTAGGGAGTGTTTGATCCTAGGTGCCTCTACTTCCACAGCTTTAAGAAGTTAATACAGAAGACTTCAAATGTCATCAAAGACAAACGGATTTCACTGGGGTTTTTAGACACTCCAAACAACATCTCCTATGAAAAAGGTTCCTTTTGTTGCATGAGTCAGACACATTTTGGAGCAAACCAGGTAATCTGCCATGGTGGTTTAGAACCACTCAAATTCTAGTACCTCCTTTTGTAAGAACTTGATCTGTGGTAACACACAAAGCATGATTTGATCCTTCTGGAAGTACTTGTCTTGTTGGAAGTGTGATTTCACAGTGCAAGTGTGAGATTTCTTGCAAGAACTGCCCAGCCTGCTGAGCTGGGAGAAGAGGGAGCAGCCTTGCTGGTATGCTTTGACAGGTATGGTGGCACCTGGTAGGGTCAGTTCTCCCTCCCTCTGTCCTCTACAGGCCCAGTGTATGCAGATGAACTGAACTGTAAATGGAGAACAGTCTGCCTCTCCCTTGCTGTGACCTAGGAAAATGTTTTTAACTGCAGCATCTGATTGCTGTTCTAGGAGAAGGCCTTCTGGCAGACTGCTGGCCAGCGTGTAATTCACAAGTTTGGAGTGCCCTGCCAGACTGGTAAGATGGGAAACTCTTGCCAGCCTGCCGGAGTGCGGTCCCTTAGTGTTTGTTCTCGGACCTTCGCAACATAGACCACGACTGCTATAGAGTCAGAAATACTCAGTGGTCAAAGGAAGATCATGTTTCACATGGAAACATGGTACTTCTCTTTTTGCTTCTGAAACCTTAAATTCTGTATGTTTTAATTTATCTTCCTCCCTTCCCCCATCATGGAGCTCTAATATGACAGCAAACTGATGTAGAAGGAAGGGTGCTGCACAGACTGATGATCACTTTAACATCTACGGATGGAACTGTTCTGTTTGCGTTAGACAGATGACCACCAATTGAAAAGTATTTTATTACACAGGATAAAGAATTATAAAAGACTTCTCATCTTAAATGTCAGTTAATGATAATGTTAGATCCCAGCTATTGACTTGAAATTGATGCCATTTTGCTGGGATATGTGTGAGAAAAATCTTTTTTCTAGTGGCTCTGACATTATTTTTGTTCAGCCTGAGTGAGAAGAGAGAGAAATCATGAACTGTATTTGGCCACTTAGCTGTCATGTGCTTCTATATCTGGAATGCTCGATGCATAAAGCTGCTGTGGCCTCTGCAGGCATCGATGCTTAAGAGCAGGGCTCTCTGACTTCTGTGCCTTCCAGGGAGCTGGGATGGGGCCCGGCGGGGGGAAGCTGTGTCCCCGCAGCTGACAGCTCACCCTGGTTACCTGGATGTTGTGAACAGGGATAAGGCTGTTTGATCAAGCGAACCCTGCAGCTGCTCTGATGAGGAACAGGTAGAGATGGGAGTTCTACCTCCTTTTTCTCCCTAGATTGGGGTAAAAGTCCTACCTTGTTATGAAATTACATCCTGTCTCAAAAAAATGGATGCCTGTTTATCAGGAGAGGCAGAGTGCTTGGGAAGGTCTGGACACTGCATGAGGATGCCTTAGTTAAGAGATTTAATACATCTGAAGTCCTATCAAGGGACCCCAGTATCCCCCAAGAAACCTTTCAAAAGTGAAATCCCAACAAACCAACCAACCAACCAAACCAAGCACAACCACATCCCAAAACTCCAAAGCAAAAAATGAATGAACAGGACCTTGCCTGCAACGTGTACTCTTGGGCAGTAATAAACCGTCTATTTCCATTGTACATTCCAGCAGTTACTGTGTCATGTTAGTCAGACACTTGTGTCTCCTTCCTATTAAACCTTTGTCTCAACTGGATGCATATGATTCATTTGGACTTCCTTTTTTAAGTAACAATAAAACTCAAATCTAGGTAGCTTGGGTTGTTGAATATTTCATCATGTTGTCATCTTGATACACAAAGTACCTGATGGAAATGTTAACTGTATGGAAAAATTTTCATCAAATTTTAACTTTGAATAAATTTGGTAATTCCCTCTTTCTGCTTTAAGCTCTGTTTGTGAGGTTTATACTGTTCATGCTAATATAGATAGTACTTTGTGCATATTAAGTATTAATAGCATATTAAGTATTAGAAGGGGGATTGAGTACACCCTCAGTGAGTTTGCCAACAGCACACTGGAGGGAAGGGATGCCACACAGAGGGATGTGGATGGGCTGGAGATGTGGGCTGGTCTGAAACTAATGAAGATCAACAAGGCCAAGTACAATGTCCTGCACCTGGGTTGGGGCAATCCCAAGCACAAACACAGGCTGGGGGAGGCTGGATTGAGAGCAGCCGTGAGGAGAAGGACTTGGGGTGTTGACTGACAAGAAACTTAACATGACCTGACAGTGTGCACTTGTAGCCCAGAAACCACCCATATCCTGGGCTGCATCAAAAGGAGCGTGACTGGAAGGTTGAGGGAAGTGATCCTGCCTTTTGCTCTGCTCTCGTGAGGCCCTACCTGGAGTACTGCATCCAGCTCTGGGACCTCAGACGCAAGAGGAACGTGGGCTTACTGGAGGGAGTCCAGAGGAAGCCACAAAGATGATCAGAGGGCTGGACCAGCTCTCCTGTGAAAAGAGGCTGAGGGAGATGGGCTTGGTCAGCCTGGAGAGGAGAAAGCTCTGGGGAGACCTTAGAGCAACTTCCGGTGCTTAAAGGGGGCCTGCAAGAAATCTGAAGAGGGACTTTACAAGGGCATGCAGTATTAGGGGGATGGTTTTAAACTGAAAGAGGGAAGATTTAGGTTAGATATTAGTAAGAAGTTTTTTGCTTATGAGGTTGGTGAGACACTGGCACAGTTTGCTCAGAAAAGTTGTGGCTGCCCCATCCCTGGAAGCGTTCAAGGCCAGGTCATGACGGGGCTTTGAGCAACTGGATCTGGAGGAAGGTGTCCCAGCCAGTGGAAGGGAGATTGGAACTAGATGAGGTTTGAAGGTCTCTTCCAAAGCACTCTGTGAATAAAGGGCTGAGG